TCAGCTTGAAACCTTAAAAAGGGAAGAAATTAAAATTTTCTCAACAGTGTTGCTCCAAATGTTCTGGCAAATTTCACGAAACACAAAACAATTTAGAAGAGAATGAGCGAATTTGCCATGTCTTACGTCATTCCTGCTCCAGGATCGGCTGTCATTTGGTTGGTGATGAACACGGCTACATTGTACTCTAAGGTAAACATTTAAGAAAGCCCTTACAATAATCATAATTATAAGAGGCATGACTTGTAGATCATAGTCACATTTGGATCTGTATGTAGAAAAGTAGCTGTGGTTGTTACATGTGAACAGCGCTCTCTCACACCTTCAGATATCTTCTGCAGCCTGGAGAGCATCTGCGCTAGTTTCTGCTGCCGCTCAGCCAGTTCTCCTCGACCAGAGAAATCTACTCTGAACAGAGCCATGATTGAGTCGATGATCTGGCAACAGGGAGGAAAAGAAAAAAGGAGACTCAGGCTCAAAGCGGGGAAGGAATCCTACTTTGTGATCTTTAACGCTTTGCCATATTCCCTTGAAAACGAAGCAAAAATGTTTATTCTGAACCTCCAACTACTGCAGTGAGTAAACCCAAAGAATTATGTGACAACATTCTTTTACAGTTTACTCACCAACAGTTTAAACACTCCTCCCTCCTCATGGAATTTAGCTGCAACGAAGTCCAACAACTCCATCTGGTGTTCACCTGAGGAGAGAGCTCAAAAACTTAGAACAAAAACAAGTGATACAGCAAAATATTAAAACCTCACCAGGCGATAGTGTTTAACACAAACTGCTTTTGCACACCACAGATGTGGTGTAAATGTTGTGTACTGTATATTCGCACTGGTGTAGGCTCGGGCATAAAGCACGTTGTCCAGCACAGCCTCATGGTCCACGTTAAACCTGTCGGCGATGTCTTTCAGTCTGTCTGGACGACTGAAACCACACAGGTACAAGTCAAGGACAATGTCAAATAAGTGAAAGCATGGTAACATTGTTATACTCATAAAAGAAATATAGTTATTTCATGTTCTAAATTACTTCTTACTGAATCAAGAAATATAAAACATGTTCATATGTAATTGTATGTTTTATCTGAGATTCAGTAAATTTGCAATTAAACCATCATCTACAATGAATGTAGAGTGTGGTATGGTTTCTCATACTTGTGTTAGTAGCAGGGGGTATTTGGTTTCACAGCACTGCACATTCACAAACCACTTCCCATGAAACCAACAAACAAACAATAGAGCGACACCTTGCAAACAGTCCACACCATCAGACAGTAATAACACTGACAGGAAATATTGACTATTTGTTAAGAGCTGGGTTAGTGGCAGTAGCTATGGCTACTAAACCTCTACCAAAGTGCATTCTGTTGCATCTTGTTGACCTATACCTGTGTCCTGATGGCATTATGTTAAAGTAAGTTCATGTACTATTGAGGCTCCAATGTGAGTAATGGCCTATTCTTTTGGCAGCAGTGTGGGTCATAAGTGTTAGTTTTGTCTGGTTTGTTACGGAGACCATATGTAATAAACAGGTGGAGCAGTAAAGCAGGATGGGTTTGATGATGCTGTTGTACAACAGAGGGAGAAGGTATTTGAAGCAGTCAACCATATCAACTGCTTCATTTTTGTGAGGATACAAGGTGTGCTCTGTGTCAATGAAGATGACTTTCCCGCCTGAGTAGGAATCCTCGCCTGGCAGCTGAGCAGTGACTGGAAAAACACACCACAGATTCTGTTTTATGCAATTAATATAATTTGTACAGAGTTGTTTTATTAAGCACTTTGGAGCAGACATTTTTAAGAGGGATGATTGATTACTCACCACAAAGTGTGTGAGACATCTGGGTTTTCCCTGTGCGGAACTCTGCATGAAGAAAAAGAGTTTTGAGCCAAATTCTGCAAAGTGAAAGATAATTATGAATGTACACAGTATATTCAACAATAACAAATAAATCTCCTCACCTCCAAAAGCCTCTGTGATCGCCATGCTCTCTACACCTCCACCCAAAAGCTTACTGCAAAGAGAACAGATATATGTTGTGAGAGGTGATTCAGGTTTTTTTTTTTAAATAAGCGAACTTAGTTTTTATTTTTAATCCACACAGAGTATCTGCTGTTAAACCTCAACCATTCAACCTGTCAAATAGATGTAACATTACAAATAAAACTTGCAAAAACATCCTTTTGTGTTTCTGCTGAAGTCAAGTAATTTCCCCCTTAGTATCGCCAAATTTCAGTGATCACTGATGTCCCCAGGTATGATAACAAATCAATAAAATTTGCAGAAACCACTATAATTCCCATCTGATAGAAATGCTAACAGACAAATGGTCAGCATTTATACAGCACCTTTCCCGTTTTATTGACCACTCACGGCCCTTTAGAGTATAAGTCACATTCACACATTCATACAGCGCTACTTTATGCAGTGCTTTTTCTATCACATGACATTCACACACTGTCGACAGCTTTCAGGGGGAATTTGGGGTTCAATAGCTTGTCCAGGGACACTTAGGAATGCAGACTGGAGATCAAACCACCAACCTTCCGGTAGTAATAATATACAAGCTGTTGGTGTGAATCCTAGAGTCTACATGTCAAGAGAAAATCTTAACTCAAACTCCTGGCTCCCAGTCGTGATGTTGAACACCTGCTTCCTCTTGGCACTGTACTCAAAGGCTGTCTGGAAACCAACACTCTGTAATGTTTAGAGAATCGTATATACATATAAAATGTTTTATAGGTTTTTTTTTATTTCTTTATCTTGTCCCCCCCTTGTTGTTGTTGTTGAAGAATGCACATTGGAAAATCCCATCTCACCAGCATTTTCCCTGCAGCTTCCTTGATTTTTTCCACTTTCGCCTCTGACAGGCCCTTGATGTTGCACAGAGCCTTGCGCGTCGTCATCTGGATTCCCTTCACAGTGCAGATACCCACTGACTTCAGCTTTTTGATGTCTGCCATATTCTGAGGTCAAACGAGGGGAGAGGACAGAGAGAGTTGCTCAGATAAATGACAGAGGATCTGATGAGTATGTTTAGGTGATGCTGTTGACTCACAATCCCGTGTTTCTGTAGGAGGTCAAGGTCTTGGAAGAAAGACTCCTGTTCAGAGAAAAACAAAATCAAGTGAGGTAAGGGCTGAGGTATACTGTAATCAAAGAAGCTTTATCTTTACAGACAGCGGTACCATAACTTACTTAATGTACAATATTGAAGATTTATTTTAAATGTCACACTGTTTTGTTCTGTACCTAAATTATTGCTTTGAATAGAAACTGTAGCATACATTATTTATAAGTGTATCTTTGTATAGTTCTGGAGGTTAGCATAATTTGATTGATTATTTTGTTGTTGGATAAAGGTATATATAAGCATGTGCTTCTGCCTCAGCCTTTTCAGTCAATATATGACGTAAAGTCTGTTTAGACTTTGTTCACATTGTCTATATTCACTGTACTTGTGCAATGTTTGATGATGACTGATCAAAAAACTCAATCAATAAATCAATCGATATCTGGCCCTGACTTCAGCTCTTTTCAGACAGGCTCGTAATCAACACCGACAGCAGCTTATTCATATTAGTAACACTGTCGCTGTAAGGGGTGTTCTAGCTTCTTATTTGTGGACAGCTGTTAGTTAGCAAATGCCAGCTAAATAAAAAGATAAGCTATCTCACCTCCTCATCCTGGAAACCAGAGTCATCTTCAACAACCTGATCCTGTGCAGCCTTCATGTTCACTGTTGTGTCTTTAAGGCTAAAGACGAAGTGAGTTTTACCGATTGAGTAACTGGGGGCAGAGATATTTAACCAATTAGCATTAGCACACTAAGCTAACCCCTGAAAGTTAAATAGACTTACTAGCACACTGCTTCTGTATTTCAGCTGCTCAGAAAATCAATTCGAGTAAAAGTATTAACTTTCAACAATAGCAGGTTGGAACTTGTGAGCGGGAAAACAACAATAATAATAACAGAAGTTCAACTTTTAGCTTCGCTGCTTCTTCCTGTTGCACCTGGCGGGAAAGTCTCAGTCAAGACGCATTCAAGTGCAGCAGGATATATACAAGCTGAACGAGTGTAAACATAGTCTAATGTGACTTTCAAAACCCGGCAGTAATGTCGTACTTTTTGGCTCTTAATAATATAACACACCATAAAATGATTGATAACATGATTAAAAATGCCAGTAAGTCACTGCTCTGAGCTACAGGCAGCAAGCTCCTATTACAACTCCAAGAACCATAGCTGCTGGAAAACAGTAAAGGCACCACTGGGCACTGGAGTATCTGTACATACTTATATTTGTGACATACATATATACAGTACTTGTATATATTCTCTTTCACTGGCTCTGATACAAATGTTGAACACTTTTCTATGCATATGTTAATTACGTATTATTAAATTAAAGTATTATATAATTATTGTTGGACTATGTTGCTTAAAAGTGAAAGATTAGAATATAGGGGAAATATATATGGTTAAGATATTAGCTCTGCATAACACTGCTATCAAAACTAAAAATGTTAAAATGTTGTTTTTTTCTTTGTTATGGTATGTTTATTTTTCTCTCTTCATTTTGTGAGTGTTCGCTTTGAATAAATGCATAAAAGCAATACCGACTTAAGTGGTAACAATACATTTTATTAGTTTGTGGGTGAGCATAATTGTGGCACAATGATTAAATGTGCAGTATCTTTGTTGCAGTCATTAGGTGCTGGGCTCCAGTGTTCAGGTAATCAAATTCACTTATTAGTTGTACCTTTGCTCTTCTTTCTATTAGAATTACTACTGTGAAAAGCCATTTGAAATATATTTCATATTCACAAATAATTGAGTTTGGTGAAAAACATATCTTACACTTCTCCCTATCATTATGATATTGTAAAACATTTATATTCAAAAAATATTTCTTGACTCTGTCTGGGTAGGAGAAGGACTTCATATGTGAGCAAATGCACAATCAAGATGCTGGAAGAAAACTGGGATGTCCATTTGATTTGGTGTTTTTTATTCCCACAGTCATGTTGAACACAAAACAGACATGTGTTTGCTTATTGAAGGACAGAATGTTACAGAATGAAAATTGTCATATGAATGGGAACAGAGAAAAGTACATAACAATCTCTCTCAGGGAAATATTGAGATATTTAGCATCAAAGTTTGTCCACAGACTAATGAAACATTGCCCGTTTTAAATGCCAACAAAACTGTTGTTGTACACACGATTGTTGGAGGACCAGAACAATTTTTCAATAGTTGATCAGAAACCCAGAAACTGACTAGTTTAAAGTGAGACCCATTTTGACATATGTGAAATACGGTCAGAATCGCACCACATAGAAAAGATTATCACTTAGCATGTAAAATGTCAACAGGCCATTCTGTCGACCACATTCCCGTCAATTACTATGGTCTGCTCCACTTGTCACTATTCATCAAACCTGCCTGTCAGGTTATTGAAAATTATACTCCTAATACAAGTGGAAGCAGAAAATACATGACAATGGAGAGAAGTGCCAACAAACGTATATAATGTTCTTCAGACTGCAAACACCGACACATACAATTGGTAACCTCCAGATTTTTTTCCTCTCATCTTATCCACCTATAACTGCGTTCCTCTACATTATTTATGCTGAAATAACAGTTTATTTTAAAAAAAGAAAATAGAAGCAGTGCTTCAGGAAATCAGTCTCTGCGTGATGTTGGTGTAAGGAGAGACAGCGAGAGAGAAGTGTCAGAGATGCTTTACATCCTCCCGCTCCTCTTTCGATCCATTAGCCAATCCAAAACTTGGAGTGAGACTAATGTTGTACCGTTGGTACACAGCTTTGCTCTTTTTTATTTTATTTACTGCAGTTCTTCGCTCTTCTCCATGGTCTCTCTGTCTCTCCTTGTGAACGACCCTGCCGTGTGGCTAGCAGCAGATGTCAGGCTTATGTTGGTCCTTCCTGGCCCGCCTCACATCTTGCCAGGTGCAGGCGGCATCATGCCCGGCATCCCTCCAGACATCCCAGTGTTGGGTCCTAGAAGGATCTAGAAGGGAAAGAGGTTATTGGTTTTCATTTGCAGTGCCGCACTTGCTTCCCCACCTCTTTAAAATATGTGGGTTTGTGGTTGTTCTGCTTAGATGGTCATAGTGCAATCAAACTACTACTGAGGTACATTGGCAGTTCAGCTGGAATGCCAGCAAAGTGTTTCTCAGCTGTTGCTTTACACACATGCACACAAACACTCACCTGTCTCTGCTGCTGTAACTGCTGCTGCTCCAGCTGTAGTCTTTCCGTCTCAAACACCACAGGCAACACCAGGATCATAAAGGAAGTGGTGCCCATCCAGAGTGCAGAGCGGGAAAAACTGAAACAGATTAACAACCCCATTAGCTTTCCGTTTCCATTTCCATCCATCAGAGTTAACATAGGTAAATAAAAATCGGTTCAAATTCTATGATCAGCTCTGTACAGGACACTTTTTTAATTGATGTAGGTCCCCCTTTCTCACTTTTACCTGATGGGAGGAAAAAGCTTAAGAAACAAACCTGTAAAACTTCTTGGCCAGTGAGACTGAGCACTGCGCCGACACCTCGGCAGCCGAACGCACCTTGTCTGGAAACATCTCTGTCAAGCCCCACAGCCTCTCCATCAGGGTCTCATCAAACTGAGGACACAACAGACAATACGTGTTACTACTGTAAGACTCAAGTGCAAAATTTAACTACGGCTTTGAGGAAGTCAATGTGAAGATTATATGACTCAAAAGCTCTGGTCACAGGGGTCTAAACTCAGACACACTACGTACTTATCTTGGTTTGTAATCACTGGTAATCGCTTGTATTTCTATAATTGTTTCATTTATTCTTTTGTCTAGAAGACTGAACTAAAGCTAAACTATTGGAAATACTGCCTCGTGACTAAGAACTAATAAAACCACATGCATTCATCAACTTAGTGAATTAGTGCTCACCTGGTTTACCACCGGTTGGATACAGCTGGTGTTACAGTGAGAAATTCACTTGATACAACCAAGACAACAACCTCATAAAGAAATGAACTGCTGATTATATGACTGAAGACGTATCGCTGCTTTAATTGTGCTTTGAGCTCACCACAGGGTTGATCAAAGCCCGAGCTGACAGGTAGCTAAGACAGTTAGCCTCAGTGCAGCCCTGCTAGCTCGCCGTGTTTGGCAGATACAAGGACACACTGGACACAGGATTTTCATTTGGACCTTCATTCACATTCTTGAAGCACCAATGAGTGACTACACACGTACGTCTTCATCTTCATCGTCGTCAATCTCGTCCTCGGGGGGTCGGATCGACACCGGGCCCGCAGCTGGGGACAGCTCTTCGATTGTGGGCATGTCTCCTGCTGGCTCCGTTCCGCTCCTCTCTTCCTCTTCTGTCGGGCCGACGGTTTAAATTAGTGCAGTTTCTTTCCGATCACTTGCTGTCGCCTTTCAATGAAGCTAATGCTAAGAGGCGTGCTGCAACGACGGTCTGAGGTCACACAGTCGGAAAAACGTGAGGCTTTTCCGGGTGGAATGACGCAAGCAGGGGCAGGGGTCGGTTTGTACTTCACCCAAGAATATACAGCGCCCTCTGCCGTCGAGGATGGTTTAAAGCAGCCTGTTAAATTGTCATTCACTCACTGAAAAGTAGTCATTTAGTTATTTAAATGTAATACAATGTAACTTGTGTTGTGTAGTAATGATTAAGTAATGTTGCATTTTACTTCCCTAAAAATCATTATGAGATAAATCCAACATTTTGCAGAGTACAGATTTTTCTGGCTATAATGTTGCATTTTAAACTGCTTGACTTGACAATATTTCCCACTGTTTTGCCACCAAAGGGTGACAGCCAAGAAATACAAGAAAATTTAAAAATTGTTTACCAGCCGCAAAAGGCAACAAACGGCATTCATTCAAAATTATTTGTTAATCAGAAAGGAAGCTTTGTGACTTGGTGACAAATGCTCTCCCCCAATGTTTTTCACTTATCTTTGCTTTATGCCTTCACACATCACTTTTAACGTAACTGTGCTGCTACCCACAGCATAGCATGGACTCAATACATGTATCAAAATACAAATGTGTTTCAATAAAAGATGCAAATCTGTGGCACGATCTTGAGGATGGAACTGAAAGCATGTGATGAAATGTACAGTTTAAAAATATTGTTAAACGGTCCAGTGAGTAAGATTTAGGTGAAAGGGAACTATTGGCAGAAATTTAATGCAGAATAATTCTCATGATGTTTTCACTAGTTCATTTCATCTAAATTGTATGAATTGTAGTTTTCTTTACCCCAGAAAAGGCCCTTTATATTCAAATACTTTATATTTACATCAAGGGGACCCTCTCTATGGAAGCCACCATGTTTTTTACATTAGTCCAGACTGAACAAAATAAACACCTTTTGAGTATTTATGACAATTAAAGGCTACCACAGGTTCTTTTTCATGTTTGAAAGCAGAGGGTGAGGTGAGGGGTGTTCAGCTGCAACATGCAATTTCAACACTAGATATCACAAAATTCTACACACTGTACCTTTAAAAATAAAGTTATAAATATAAGACACTTTCTGTCTATCTGGGCAAAATGTTATTTTCTGTAGGTCAGCATTTCTGACACGTGTTGTAAAGTCTGTGTGTTTGGAGGGGGGGTGAGGGTTTCAGTGTTATTTACTTGTTTTAACTCTGCTGACATGACAAGCTGAACAGTGTCAGTGCGGGGTTGCTCCTTTTTTGACACCATGAATGATCTTTTCCACAGAAGTTGTTGTTGTTATTGTTGGGAGCAGTGACGGGAGGAGGAGGAGGAGGAGCAGGAGCAGCAGGAGGAGGAGGAGGAGAAGGAGGTGGGCTGCTCATGGAAAAGTTCTGGGATTCAGGGATTCCTTGTTTACATCCTCCCGGAGTACGCCGCGGGGGCGGGGTTTGACTCCGCCCTCATTCTTTTGGCCTGACGTCATTGTCGCTCGGTTGTTTTTTATGAATGAAAGAATCCAACCTCAGAGAGCAGCGGAGTAATTCCGGGAAAAGGCGGACTGACATTTTGTCGCCAGAGAAGCTTCGACACGGCAGGTAAACCACCGCTCCTTTCATTAAAACACCGACGTTACGGAGGCATGTAGCCGGGGTTCGTGTGTCACTGCGGGGTGGCGGAGGTCTGGTGTCCGCCGGGGACTCGCAGAACAACCAAGGACGAGTGAGCAGGCAGCTGTCTGCTCTAATCTCCTTTAGCTCGCTAGTAACCGTTGATGCTAGCTGCTAACATCACTAGCATGTTTCGCATGATGCGGCTAATCTGGCTCCTCTCCTCGTATTTAGCCCTCAACATTAGCAACATTTGACAGCCACACGCGTCCCTCACTTCCGTATCTAACCGTGTGCCTTAAAGCTGTTTAAATGGATTATTTAAAGTCCTGCTAAAATGGATGTCGTGGGCACTCGTGATGGCTGTTTACTATAGCAGCGGTAGCGGCGCCTTCACCCCGAGCTGTCCAGCTCCTCTCCCTATAAGGACAAGGCTGGGTTGTGGATGTAGTTAGATGGTCAAACACACTTTCCACGAGTAGTCTGGCGGCTATTTGTTATTTACTCCTTGATAATCTCCAGAATGTGCATGTGATGGACTTCATTATTTGTTGTAGCCTAGAGCTGCGTCGACTTGTTGCGTTCCGCTTTGATCGCGTTACTTAATCAGTCCAATGTCCTCTAAAGTGTCATTTATGGAGAACGGAGAAGTTGAAACGATACATGTTGTTTTTATGTAAACACAGACAAGTGGTCGGGGCTGTTCCCAGTCTGTTTTTGTGGGGGGGTGACTGTCTCAGTCTTAGCGGAGCTGAGTGAGCGGTTTATTGCTGAATCACCCTGACTTAACGAAACGGCCGTGGCTTCGGTTACAGCCGGAGTGGAGTCCACCGCCGGGCTCTGGTCTGTCCGACCACCGATGTTCCTGCAAATCCTCCAGATCCCACGCATTCCGGGAAATGTGTTGTTTTTGTCAGCGAACTGCAGACGACGATGGCCAGTGTTTATTCGCCTTAGCTGGATCATCTCATTATTCAACAGCAGTATGATGATTTGACTTTATTTATTATGGGTATTTATTTATCCATAACTGTAAAATCATGAAAACACAGCTTCTATTCAGTCTTCATGAAGTATTTATTTTGTTGTCATACAAGCTCTTGGTGTATAGGAAGATTAAAACAGCCACAAGAAATGCTGAACTTCATCAACTCACTAACATGGTGATGTAATGTGTACGTTTACCTAATATTAAGTCCATAGCTTTCCCTGATTGTCATTTAAAGATAAACTTAACATTTTGCAGAGGACAGATTATTTCAAGTCCAAAGACAACTGTATTCTCTCAAAGCTGTGACTTGTTTATACCTTTTCACAGAAGACATCTTCACACTGCTGTCAATAATGAAAATTAATTGAAAGGATATTATGTATATAAATGTTAGAATGCTAAAGAAGCATTGTTAGATCATTAGTAACACAGTCATTGCCCTAATAAAGTATTGGAACATTATTACATTGTTAGAACTGTAATAGTGGCATTTACCACTATCACTATATAACAGCTGAACTTTATTAATGTCTTGGAATTATTAAAGCCCCTCTACTTTAAACATATATTCTAGTATATTTGATTTAATCTTCAAAGTTACCTACGGGAATTGCAGGCCTCATGTTACGTTGCGGCTCATTTTTGCTCTCGGAGTTCAGCCGGGGTTCAAGGGGGTTTGTATTTGTAACTGACCTTGAACTCCCTCACCCCCCTCATTAAAACAAAACTCAACTAAATCTGATTTAACTCACATGACTCCCATTTGCATCTTTTCTTCCTCCCCCTGTCATGTCTACTTGGGAATGTGTTTTCTCTGGTAGTGCTGGAGTCAGCAGGACAATCTAAGTCTTATCTTTACATTCACTGGTATTGTAGGTAACTGTGTCCACATACACTTTTATTTGACAGCCATAAACAAAAAGGCCATTGATAGCAGGTCAACTCAGGGGACAGGATGTCAAATGTTAATACCCAGTTTAAGTACAAATTCATCCTAACCCCAACCATCTTTTGTCAGGGGTATAAATGTGTTCAAATTCAATATATCGCATTGAAAAGCAGACAGAAATCCAATCTAACCTGCAATCGTAACACTAAATTGCTTAAACTCAGACTTCAAGTTCAAACAACACAACAACAACAGATATTCCCACGGGTTTCATTGAAAACAAACACCACATCCCCATCTTCAAAATGTTATTGTTGAAAGACTGGAGTTACGAGGCCAAAACGAGATGTCAAAGATCACAAATATGCTTTGGAATCTGCAAATGACTGTAATCACGAGGCTGTGAAATTTAGCTGCAGCATTACCTCGTCTACATTGGTCTGCTCCTCAAAGAAAAATGATAGTGTGAAGAGTCGGCTCACTAAGCCGCCGAAAGCTCAACAGTAACCACAGGGCTGTATTTTGCCACTCTCTACGTGTATGTGGTATCATGCAAGTTTTTTTTTCTTACACTTCTCTCTCTTTAGGCGACAGTGTGACGAAACAAAAGCCCACCCACTCTAAAATGTTGAAAAGAAATACGAAAGCAAACACGGTAATGTTAATGAAAAGCCAAGTGCCGGGAAAACACCCTGGGGCTTGATGATGTCCAGGTTGAACTTGTTGGTCTAGATTGAATATTTATTGTGAAGAGATATTTTAGCCATACAGCCAAAACAGCCTCAGACTGAAGTGCAGAGTCATTTCTATCAACACTGTAGTGATCCGAGCTCCACAGCTGAAGGGGAAGAGAAAAGAAAAAACAGATAGTTGACCTGTGTAGAGGTTGGACTTTAATCCCACATAACAACATTTGTGCGCTGACCTTAAGAGGAGTGCAGGAAGTCCCTGTGTGGCGTGTGCTAACTGCTCAATGAGGAGAAAATTTCCTAATAGAGTAGTGTTAAGGCGGCACAGACAAACAAACACTGTTACTGCTGCTTGTTGAAAGAGAAGAATCATCCACGTCCACCTTTAAATACTCTTGTTAGTTTGTCCCATGTACGTTTAATATACTGATTTAGTTTTACTTCAGGTTAAGTAAAAATGATTATTTTAACATGTTTACACGCTGAGCCCAGTCGATTTCCTATAAAAATAGTTGCCTGCTCTTATTTGGACTTTTTCCACAATGAAAGCTTTGAACCGTTGGTGTTGTGTTGTCAAGAGGAAGTGTAAAGGGAATTGGTTAGGGCACCTGCTTTGTGCAACCAAAGGACAGACACATGGTAACTTCCTCCTCGGCATTTCAACCAACAGAAAAACGGCGTGTCGCTTACAAAACCTCCTCCTTTCTTTCATATCGAGCCACAGAGTTTAATGAGAGAGCGCATTTGGAGAAGCATGACCGATTTGTGGGTTCTCCTTTTCTTTATCGTGCATGACTGGCTGTCTTGTGAGCGGATGGTAAATGTCAGGCCCGATACGGACCAAAGCAGCATGATGTCCTGAGTCACATGGGGTAACATACCTTTTTTTGTGTCTATGTGTGTGTGTCCTGTTTCTGTGCTTCCAGAGTGTCTGTATCTGTGTTGACTGGTGCTTGGGGGGTAAAAGCTGAAGACATTTGGATCATGACGACAGAAAGAAACAGCAAAGCCCTGAAGGTAACACACAGCCAGAAATAATACTCTGTTTTATTATTTCTAGGAGAATGAGTCATGTTTATAGCCTTGGGCTATTTTTACAAGAGGGAAAATGGCAATGTTGGAAAGAGGTTTGACTCTCCTCCCAGTTCAGTTGCTCTTTAATGTCATTTGTTGATGTCCATCCCTTTTTTCCTCAATACTTCATCCAACTGCATCTTTTCTCTTCTTCTGTCCTCCACCTCTTCCCTTAAGGTGAAGCAGGAATGTGGCGAGAACGTGCCCTTCCTCTCAGACAGTGAGCTCATGTCCCTCACGGTACGAGAGCTGAACCTCCACCTGCGCGGCATGTCCCGCGAGGAGATCCAGAAGCTGAAGCAGCGGCGTCGCACCTTGAAGAACCGGGGCTACGCCGCCAGTTGCCGGGTCAAACGGGTTTCCCAGCGCGAGGCCCTGGAGCAGCAGAAAATGGAGCTTCAGAGGGAGGTGGATAGGCTCGGCGCAGAGAACGCCGGTATGAGGAAAGAGCTGGAGGGCCTCGGTGCGCGCCTGGCTGCTCTCCAGAGATTCGCCAGAGGTCTGGAGGCCGGAGGGGGCAACCTGCTGGCCACGGCACCGCGCCTCAACACCGCCTCCGTCATCACCATCGTTAAGAGTCCACCACAGCCTCAGCAACAGAGAGAACACGAGCCGTCCTAGAAGGAGCTGCTGGGAACAGACTTGGGGAGGGATGCACAACCTGCAATGCAAACACACACTCATTCTCACACATGCATACACCTGCAGGCATACGTGTACTATACACATGCTAAACAATAGGAAGACAAATAGGAAAATTGCTAAATGCTTGTTTGCGTTGAGCCCCGTTACATTACGAAGTGCATCATTCAGAGCTGCGTGTGACACCATCAAAACGACAACAGCTACTTTTAGTTTTCTAAAGCCACAGCTGAGAATTCATCCAGGACAAGTGGAGGGGTCCTCTACTTCATGCTATTTTTTTATAATGCTATAGCTTAGCCGACTGAAATTTACTCAAGTAGCTTTGTTGAGAAACTCAAGAGCTCAGTTTTGTTCAGAACAAGGCAGCAGGTGTAATGTGAGCGAGGCGTCGAGCACAGACGCGTGCACGTATGCACAGGATCCTCACAACTCGAAACCGTCGACTGACCGGACTCACTGGACTGAAGCCGAACAACCCAAACCAGAGTTACTGTACATCTCTCACCACTCAGCAAAAAAACCACCAGGGTGGAGCTGACGTATGCCATGCGCTGCTTCCTCCAGCTTGACAAACGTCTACATTCCTGGTACAGTTGTAGTCTGAAGCTAGTTAGTGTTTTCTCACAAGCAGCCCAGGGTCATGTGTTTCTGTTAGCATGCAAGAGAATGTCTCACAGTATGAATCACTTGGTCATTAACGCAGAGTTTCTCAACCTCCGCGTCATCTGATATCCAGGCAGGGGCCACGGGGGATTCCCCAGACTCCACACTCACATTCTGACATTTCCTTCATTCTTTAAAAAAAAAAAAATACAGCAGTATGCCACCCAACAGCCTTCTTAGATGAGGCCATGAGGATTTTGGAATTTAAAAGGTTTGACACACTCCAGAAAAACGGTTGAGAAACGCTGTGTTCATGAATTCAAAACTGTACATGAAGTGAAATGTCTTAATTTTGGGTTTGTCAGTCTCCCTTCCTGTTCTTGCCCTTGGTTTGAGGAGAAAGTTTCATACTACTTGTGTTCACACTTCCCACATTACTGCAGTGCCTTCAGTGTATGTCGGAGTTATGAGAATGGAAATGTC